AGACTGTCCCAACATACCCAGGTTTTGATCCCCATCTAAGGATCTCACTGATTGGCATATCAAAGACAGTCCGATCCGACACTTAGTGAAATGTCATAATCGAGTCTAGGGGTCAGGTGTAACTTTCTAGTTTTGCCCATCTGTCTCCAAGGTCCAGAGCAATACTAGAAATCTAGTCCGGTTCAAGGATTCAAGTAATCCCATACTGCATGTGCCTTGGGTTTTACCCTGGTGGCCGAGACAGGCCATCCCAACATTTGACGGCACACCAGTATCAGCCTTGGCAGGATAAATCTCCCCAGACTTATCCAATGGCTATGAACATTTAAAAACTAACACGAGTCTCTATAAGTGTCTAATTTTAGGGTCTTACACAAATAAACCAAACAACATGAATCAAACATGCACTTTATTTATTTCCAYTAAATAACAAAAGTACATCAAATCTGATTGAAGCTAAGGGCATACAAAACTGTCTAACACAAATCACAGTAAAAAATCTACCTTGTACTCTGGGTTGGATAACAAAAAAAAAGTGGGTTTGGGGTTCTGTTCCGCAATAGACCCCGGGTGAAAAATGAGGATTATAAGTTGGAATTGTTAGGGACTAGGGTCTGCTTTGACAATTCGTAAATTCCTATGTAAATCTAGGAGTTGACTCTGTTTTCTTAATGGAGACTAAAAAGTCTTTTCTAAACTACAATAAATCTCTCAAATTGTTTAAGGATTGGAATGGTTGGGGGTAGATTCTTCGGGTCTCAATGGGGGCCTAACTCTCTTCTAGAAAAAGGACATTGAGGGGAAGGTCCTTTATGCTGACAAAAACATTATCCATGTTAAATTCACAAACTATGGGGGGTTGTCTGGTACTACTCATTCATCTATGGAGAACCAAAAAGAGTAAAGAGAAGTATTTTCTTGAAGAAGTGGAATAATTTGGCAAAGTTAATAATGGGCTAGGGCCTATATAGGGGATTTTAATTTCATTCTATATAGCTCTGAAAAGGAGGGGGGAGGTTTTATAGTGAATTCCAACTTCAAATGTTTAGGAAATTTTTAGAGGAATGTGGCTTACAGGAGGTTCAAAGTGAGGGACCAGCTTTCACCTAGTTAAACAAGAGGGAAGGTAATAGGCTAATTAGAGCAAGACTAGACAGAGTGGTTTGCAACTCCCAGTGGCAAAAGTAATCTACAAATTCCAAAGTGAAAGTAATTGTTGATCTTGGCTTTGATCACTTCCCAATCTTGTTGGAAACTGAAACTGGGAACCATAAAAGAAGGAAACTTTTCAAGCTTGAGGAGATGTGGACAGACCATCAGGATTTTCAAAGTCTGCTTGAGAAGTCCTAGGAAAAAAGAGAAAGGGATTGAGCCAAACTCTTCTCTACGGTGAGTTAAGCAAAATAGGAACTGAATACAATCATAATACTGTTAACAATCTAAAATCTAAACTAAATACCTGGCTTAGAAGGGAGGAAATGATGTGGCTTCAGAAATCAAGGGTGAACTAGCTACAATCTGGTGACAAAAATACTAAGTTTTTCCACTCAATTGCAAAAGGAATGAGCATTAGGAATAAAAAGTACATCTCAAAGAAACTAATGGGGATTGGGTGACTATCACTGTGGAGTTAGAAAAACCATTTCAAAAATGTGCTCAACTCGTTTAACCCAAGCCTACAAGATGAGTTTCTCAATTGTTTGGTACCAAAGTTGAGTGAGCATGATAAGGAAAACTTAGAAAGGGAGGTAACAAATGAAGAGATAAGAGAAGCTTTGTTCCAAATGGCCCCAAAGAAAGCCCCTGGTCTAGATGGCTATCCAAATTTCTTTTTCCAAAAATTTTGGGGAATAGTAGGAGATGATGTTATTAAAGCTATCAAGAATTTCTTTGGAACTGGAAATCTGCTAAGGGAATTTAATGTAACCTATATAGCTCTGATTCCAAAGGTAAAGAACCCTGAAGAGGCATCCCACTTTAAACCTATTAGCCTGTGCAACTTGGTTTACAAAATCATTGCAAAAGTCTTGGTTAATAGAGTAAAACCCCTGTTAGGTAGTCTGATCAGTGAGAACCAAAGTGCCTACACTCCGGGTAGATACATCCAAGACAATATCCTGGTAGCTCATGAGATAATTAATTTCATGAAAAACACTAGGAGTAAAATTCCTTGGATGGTTCTCAAGCTTGATATGAGTAAAGCCTCTATGACAGGGTGGAGTGGATTTTCCTTGAAAAAACAATGCAAAAGATGGGGTTTGGAGTAAAGTGGGTTAATTTGGTCATAAAATGTGTAACCACAGTTTCCTAAAGAGTTCTGGAAAATGGAAATTCTAGCAGAAAATTCTTTCCAGAGAAAGGGCTGAGACAGGGAGACCCCCTGTCTCCTTATCAGTTCTTATTTTTCTTAGAAACTTTGTCTACAAAACTCACAGATCTTGCTTCCCAAAAGAAGAATAATGGCATTTCAATTACTAGAAACTGTCCAACTGCTTCTCATTTGTTGTTTTTGCAGATGATAGTTATATATTTTCTAAAATAGAACTGGGGGATGGGCAATGTATCCTGGATGCTCTCAAAACCTATGAGGAGGCCTCTAGGCAACAGGTAAATTTTTCAAAAGTTGAGGTTTTTCTTCAACAGAAATTTACATCATAGACTCCAAAAATTGTTGGATAGATTTCTTAAAATGAAGAGAGTAGATTCTCCTTCTATCTACCTAGGACTCCCCGCAAAGATTGGTAAATCAAAAAAAGTCCTCTTTAACTTTCTAATTGAAAGAGTTAGAAAATTACTATCCAAGTGGCATGAATGTGTGCTCTCTTAAGCTAGTAAAGAAATCCTATTAAAGGCTATAGCTAGTGCCATTCCAAATTACACCATGTCCTGCTTTTTGCTCCCTAAGGAGGTTTGCAATGAACTAAAAAGAATTCAAACTAGACTCTGGTGGGGGGCTCTAAAGATCAAAGGCAAATTCATTGGGTGAGTTGAGAAGTCCTTAGTAAAAATAAGTTTGCAGGAGGGTTAGGATTTAGAGACCTGTATAAATTTAGCCTTGCTCTCCTAGCAAACCAAGTTTAGAGGATCTGCAATAATGAGGATAATCTTTGGGTAAAGATTATCAAGGCAAAATACTTGAAAGGGAAAAGTTTTCTGACTGCTAAGCTTCCAACTAAGGGCTCTTGGGGTTGGCAGTGCCTGTTAGCAGCAAGAGAGGTCCTCCAAAAAGGGGCCTCTGGGCAATTAACTCTAGAACAAAAGTTAAGATTTGGGAGGACCCTTGGCTGCATTAAATATAATCATTTAGAGTAATGGGTTCTAGACCAAATGCTTCAGGTTTGATTTGGGTTAAAGACCTAGTGGATGATAGTGGGAGAAAATGGAACACTAGGTTGATTGAGGAGAATTTTGGGGAGATAATTGCTAAAAACATCTTAAGCTTAAATCTGGCTAAGGGTACTTGGGAAGACAAAATTAGGTGGACCTATCACCCAAAGGCTCTTTATACTGTAAAATCTGGATACTATGCCTTAATTTCAAACTACACTAATTCAATAAATGTGGGTGCAAATATTGGAAATGAGGGGCGTTTGGGAAAAAAACTAATAGGCCAAAACTGGAAAGCAATAATTGACCCAAGGATAAAAAAATTCATTTTGAAATGTTCCCAAAATGCCATACCTGTCAAAGAAAATCTCTACAAAAGAAAACTCTCTAATGATAGTAAATGTCTCGTCTACCTCCAACATTCTGAAACTATTTTACACTGCCTTTTTGAGTGTGATCATGCTCAAGCAACTTGGTTTGGATGTCATTTTAATTATGTGGTCTCCAGGGGCAGTTTTTTTTCTTCTTTTAAACATTGGCTTTCTCTGTGGTTGGATATTTTCTTGAAAGACAGTGGCAGAAAGGATGGGTTAATTTCTTTCTCTTTTTTGCTGTTGTGGAATATCTGGAAATCTAGGAATCTTAAAGTATTTGAAAATTCTGATCCAAATCCTAGGGTCACTCTTGCTATAACTTACCGGATGTGGAGAGAGAGAGTGATGACTTTCCAAGCAGAATTGTGAGATTCTTCTCTTCAACATCGAAACCTTAATCAGTTGCACACCATTTTTTGGGAAGCACCAGAACCAAGCCGTTTAAAGCTGAATGTTGATGGGAGTTTTTTGTGTCTAGGTAGCTCAGGCTTTGGAGCAGTGCTAAGAAATTCTGATGGGACTATGATAGCGGTAGTTTTTGGTAAATCCTCAGCCTCATCTCCTATCCAAGCAGAAGCGATGGCATTTCTCAATAGCCTAAAAGTTTTCAGTATGTTCAAGGACGAAGCCCTTTTAGTGGAATCTGATTATTTGGCTCTGGTGTGGGCTTTAAATAAAAGAAACTTTGATCTTGTGTTGGATGCAAATTTCCTGTGCATGGACATCAGCTTGCTAATTAAAGATCTGTTAATATCTTTTGTACATGTAAATAGGACTTATAACAATGTTGCACATGTGCTGGATAAAAAAGGTCTAAAAGAGTCTGGGTTGTTTGTTCATGATCCACCTGGGTGGATCCAAGTTATGGCCAACCAAGACTTAATTAGACCTTAGTTGGTGATGTATTTCTTTCTCCTTTTCTATCTAATATATTTCTCATCTTGCTTTTTCTACAAATAAAAAAAAACAACACAAAAAAAAAGAAAATAAAAGATTGGCTTTTTATAAATGAGCAGATACAACATGATATAGCACGTTGTAAGCAATAGTACTAGAGTGAAAGCAATAAGAGAAGGATTTCATTCAATGAAAAAAGAAGCTAAATCCCATCTCAACCTTTGAATCAGAATAAAAGAACGGAAAAAAGGAGAAAAATAAAACCTCAATTTCCTTCTTCCACGTTTCTTGTCAAACTACTCTTCCAAGTTCCATCCACTAAATTCAAACAAAGAAGGACACGAATACATAATAAAACCTAAATTGAGGAGGTTTAAAACAAATTCCACGGCAATAGAGTGACACTTGAAAGATGACAAATGTTGTCCATTCTAAACAAAAAGATGACAAATGCTAATCCTTCTTCCGCGTTTCTTGCCAATAACCATGTTGAAAGTTGAAATACAATGCTTGTTTTCTTGTCCACAGATGATTGGGCGAATCCAATATAGGTAAGGCTTAAGAGAAAGAATGGCCGGATAATCGCCGGTGTCAGAGAAAAAGCACTGTTGCTGGTGTTTTCTCTGGTTTGAAATGAAAAAACAAAATATCAGAAAAAAAAGAATAAAATAAGAAAAATGTGTGAAAGAGTGATGATATGAGAGATGGAGAGTACTTGTGACAATGAAATGGCCAGATGATCACCGGTGGTCGTTGTAAATGGTTGGTTGTTTCTCTGATCTGAAATGAGAAAACAAAATATCAGAGAATAGAGGTTTAGTTGATTTAAAATGAAAAAACAAAATATGAGTGTTGGAGAATACATGGTCAAGGTGAACTCACCGGAGTGGTCACCGGTGCCGAAGAAGGAGAGCTCAGGTGGAGGGGAGTAGAAAGGGGTCAGGGGATGGACAGTTCAAGTAGAGGTATCGGTTGAGGGTGCAGGAATGTAGAAACGAGGGTTTTGGGCTAGTTTTAGGGCTAATGGGACAAACTAACGGCCGTCTTATTAGCCCCGCACGTGGAAAGCATTTCCACATGCGAATGGACACGCGGTGGACGCTCAGTGTGTGGGGCATTTGTCGGGCAAGATTGTGAGAGGCGGTGGGGCACAGATTTGAACTCGGTCCAGCCTGTGGACCCTTTTTCTATGTACGGGTAAAGAAGAACTTGAGTCTCTCTAGACCCGTTTAAGCATTTGCTCGAGGTTGAGGCCTTAAGGGTCAACCTAGGCCCATAATAAAACCCATATAGCCATACTAGGTAATCTAATAATGTGTTGTAGATAACTATATAATAAATAGTCTTTTCTCACACCTTAACTAATTACTTCTTTGATTGGATGCCATTTAACATCTTATAAATATTTCTTTAGATAAATTTAACGGTTTACAACTTTATATTTGAGTTTAGTTTGGTTAATTAGATAATACTAATTTAATTATTTAGATAAATTTAATTACATATAAATTATATTTTAAGTTGTATCTAATTTCTATTTAAATTTTTAATTATAGATAATTATTATTATTATTTTGATTACAAATAATCAAAATAATTATTCGATAATAGTTTAAGCTTATGATAATATTTTTAATTACAGATAATTAAAATAATTATCTTGGGAATGAATCCCGTGGCACCTAGGTTGGGGGGTTTATGGGTTTGGGGGATGGGTTACCCCCCCTAGTTGTGTAGTCCCTTGTAGCAAAAAAATACAGATAATTAGAATAATTATATTACATATTATTATTATTATTATTATTATTATTATTATTATTATTATTATTATTATTATTATTACAGACATATGTACTAATTATCAATAATCATAAAAAAGTAATAGTAATTACTAGAAATTATCCAAGAAAATTGCCAAAAATGAATTAATATTATTTCTAAAAAATATGATAATTTACCAAAAATCAACATCAATAAAAATAACCATTTAATATCAAATTATTTTTACTATTTCTCATACTTAATTAATAATAAACAATTATTAAAAAATTGCAGGATTTATTGGTGGAAGTAAACATACTATGTGAACATATGTACTTATTATAAATAAACTTAAAAAAAAATAATAGTAATTACAAGAAATTAACCAAAACTTGTCATTAAATAGTAGAAATGATCAAAAAAAACCAAGAAAATAACTAATATATCTAGAAAACATAATAATTACCAGAAATTACTAGAAAACAACAGAAAATTACCAATAATTATAAAAAATCATTGTAAAAATCACTTTATGAGAAATTATCGAAGAAAATTCCCAAAAGTGGATTTACATGATTTCCAAAAAAATATGATAAATTTCCAAAAATCAATATAAGTAACCATTAATTATCAAATTATTTTTACTATTTCTTATACTTAATCAACAAATTACAAAATTTATTAGTGAAATTAAAAGTACTTTGTGAAAATAATTACTAGTTATAAATAATCTTCAAAAATAATAGTAATTACTAAAAATTTTGGAGAATTTAAAGTACATTTTCTATTTGCATGGACAATGTATTATTGAGTTATATTGTTTTATTACATTATCTACATTGATTTTTTTTTGTATAGATTATAAATCATATAATTTAAACATTACAATCCTATGTATTTTTATTATTCACTTTCACTTAACAAAACCCGTGCATCACATGGGTGCTCGCTAGTAATAATTATTACACTACATTAAGAATCATTAGTCTAATAGTAATTGTTTAATTATTTACAGTTATTTTGGGAAAATTAATTTTATGAATATTTAATTACAGTAATTTTATTAATGTAACAACAAATTTTAACTTACAATGATTTTAAATTACTTACTGAAATAATAATTATCAAATTATTTATAGTGACAATAGTTATTAAATTAGAATACAATTCTTGGAATATTTTGTGTAATACTAATTATTAACTTACATTAATGATTATTAGTCTAATAATTAGTAATAGTCTAATAATTATTATGTGTAGTAATAATTATTGAATTATTTAAAATATTTCTGGAAATTAATCTTCTGAATATTTAATCATATTAATTTTACAATAATTTTATTGGAATGTGTAATCAACTATTTTATTGGTTCTCAAATAGTTTCCATTATTTAACAACAATAATTATTACAAAAGTAATTTGCATTATTTAATAATTTTTTGGAAAAATTAAAAATGTTTTTACAATAATATAGTAATTTTGGGAAATTACATTTCATAAAAATAACTTTTTGAATGTTTAATTGCAGTAATTTTATTAGCGTAACAATAATATTATAATATAATAAAATTTTTGTAATATTTAGTGTAATAATAATTATTAAATTACATTAACAATTATTAGTCTCATAATTAGTTTAACATAATTATTTAATTATTTAAAGTAACTTTGCGAAATTAATTTTTTGAATATTTAGTTACACTAATTTTATAGGAATATTTCATTACAATAATTTCCCAATATTGTTTTTCTTAATATTCTTTTATTTTATTGGTTGGGAAAATATTTTGTAGATTTTAATAATTATTGAATAATAATAAATTATAATATTTTGAAAATTGTCATTTTTTGTTTCAGGTTTTCTCTATTATATATGCGCATCTTATCTGATTTATAATATATAATATAATATGAATTACAATTTTTTTCCAGGTTACCTTTGTTCGATATATTGTGAATGCATTAAATACTATGTCCTTCAATGTATGTTTTGTATTGCGAAAATCTAGGGTGCCGAAAAGAGTACCATAAGAACTTTGACCAGTTAAAGCCCACCGGTAAATTTTGATAAATATCATTTGATTGGTTAATATGTTTATCATACCGGTTGATTGTTTGCAAGTTTTTCAGATATAATCTCTTTTTGGTATTAGAGTTAAATCTATTTTATATTTTGTTGATATTGTTTTTCTAAAATTTCTTTTCTTACATGAATGTATAGTTAAATTATTTATTTTGTTACAATAAATACATAGGCTTTATTTATATTTTGTTATAATTAAATCACTATTTTTACATTATTCATTTGATGAGTTATATGATTACCCTTGCTCTACTCACTATATCATTTACATAAGTTCACTATATAATTGGCATTCAATGTATCCTTTTGATCCTTTTTTCATTAAATTTATATGGGTTTTTTTGTGTATCACATGGGTTCCTACTAGTTTTAGATAGAGCTGCAAGTCAGGCCGGATTAGGTGGGTTGAGGTCAATCCTAGCATAACCTTAAGTTCTAAACCTTTAGCCCTAACCCTAACCCCTTCTAAATTCCTTCAACCCTAACCCAACCCAACCTTCTTCTCATCTCTTAAAATCTCGTACAACTATTTAATCTCAATTTTTTATTCAATTTTCACTATATATATGTCAACATCCATTTTTTACTCGATTTGTTACTTGAACCCCAATTTATTCCACATTCCCAATCAAACCCTTCCAATCTATTTGGAACACCTAAAAATCCAAAAAACCCGAATTTATCTCGAGAGACCTTAAATCCACTGCTAAATCTATTCGATGCCAATCCAATGGCCTTGATCAACCCCCATTTACATCTTAACCCTCAGATTAGACACCACCATCAAAATCAAGACCTTCCAAAATACTTACTAACAAATCTCAACTCAAAATTCCTTCGTTTACTCTCTCATTAAGCGAAGATTCCATTTTAACCCTAATATACCCGCTTGTAAAATTTCAGCACAAAATACCCTTATTTGCTTCTTTATTGCACAAAGATTTCATTTTGAGGCTTTGGATTAATCGAAATCAAGCATTTTCTAGATCTACCCTATTTGGGCCCAATCTGATGCCTCTGATCAACCTAGGATGCTCAAAAACCCTACCTTGTAAATTTCAACAAAAAATACCCCTATTTACCCATCCATCTAAAATGATTTAGTTTTGGCCAATCTTAGTAGTACACATACACAAAACTGTGACGGGATCTGTTCCTCACAAATGGGCACCTCACAGGTACATCCACCATGCTTTGGGAATATTCCCCACGAATAATAACTAATAAGTATAGGAGATGTTCCCAATATATGATCGGATGTGCGTATAAGGCACAAGGTGTGAGGAGCATATCGGTCCACTCTTTGTGGTCAACCCTATCTCAATCCTCCATTTTTAATCTAAAAATCCCCACCATTGAACCAGAACCTTTGGCTTGACCCCTAGACCGGTTTTGACCCGAGTTCACAAAAGTACAAAGTTGCCCCTCAACTTCCAAAAAATTACGAAATTACCATTATCTCCCTTTTCTTCTCACTTTGCCTAACCGCCGAATTCACAAGGGGAATGAAATTTTCGAAAAGGGATTGGTCATCGTCTTTTTCCTGCGAACGGAACAGGGGGCACACGTCCTCCTCGCGGCGACCGTGAACCAGTGGCGGCGGCGAAACCTTCCTCATTCCGGTCAGATCTTTCCATGGAAGGTCCTTCCTCTTTCTCTCACACCCTCTTTTCTATTCCTAGCGTCTCCCTCACTCCCAACTACACCGCTAATCTGAGATTGGAAATCAACTATTCATCGTCTTCCTCAAGACGAAAAGAGCAGCGGCGGTAGAGCGGTCGCCCCCTACATCTCCGGCCTCTCTTTCTTCCTCCTCTCTTTATTCTCGCATCCCTCTCTTCTCCGTTATCATCGCCCCCATTTTTCTTCCAGCCGGAAAACAGAAACCCAAAATCATCTTCGTCTTCATCCTCTCGCATCGGCGGCGACCGAACGGGGGGCGTCGGTTCGTCATCCCCAACCACTTGACATACAGCGGTGGATCGGCGTCGGAGCGTCACCCCCTGTTCATCATCTACTCGAATAAATCCGATACCGTTCCGGGCAACCGCGATTCGGCACTTTGCAAAGCTCACACTGGCAGTCGATTGTAGTCGAAGTCGAGCATCAATCTTCACGCTAACCAACTGAAAAGTAAGTAGGCGTTTTTGAACCCCAGCAACGACCCCGTCAACTCTTAGGCTACACTACAAACCAACATTTTCACATTTTTGGTTCTCTAGACCGCCGGTGAGTTATGCATCCTAATTTTCTATGTCTGTTTACAGTGGGTTTGAGTATGAGGTTTGTCAGATTTTCCTGGTGTAATTTGTTTAATCCTGATTATTAGAATGCTAGTTCACCGATGGAAAAAGTATAACATGATTCAGGCTCTTAGGACTGCAACGAATTCTGACCTGGTGCTATTGGATATAGTCGGAATTGGGGGATGAACATCACTGTGAACTTTGTGGTAATAGAAGTATCAAAGAAGACAAAAAATACATAATGAAGAGATAAATGACATATAATCAGTATAAAAACATAAATAAGAGAACCTTAGGCTGAGTTTGGAAAGAGAATAAATGCAAATATGTACATATTAAATACATATAAAAGAATAAAATAGAAGGTTTTGCACTCTGCATATTTGTATTTATACTCCTTTTAAACTCGGCCTTAGATAAGATGATAGGGTAGGAATGGCGAAAGAATCTAATCATAAAAAGGAAAATAAAAATAAAAAGAAGTAATAGAAATAAATAGAAAAATATAACAATAAATGAAATCAAAAATAAATTGAGAGAATGGACATTGTAAGAAATGATAAGATAAGTGAAAATAGATAGATAAATAAATAAAAATGAAAAAGAAAGAAAATAAAAAATATAAAAAAATAAAAAAAGAGTAAAAAATAATCCCATAAAAACAAATACACAAATAGAGTCACATAAGAAAATAATAACAAAATAAATAATTGGCAAAATCAGAACAAAAAAATAAAAGTAAAATTCAAAAAAGGAAAATAATAAAAAATAAAATACAAAAAAGTAAGTAAGTAAAAGAAATAAATAATAGAGAAAATAACAAAAATAATAAAAAATAATAAGCAAGTTTCTCTTGTAGGTTTTGTTCTTGATATGTTTTGGTTTATTGATTTTTAATGTGTGCCTTCAATTAATTGAATGATAACTTATTTTTGTTTGTGCCTATTTGGAACCTCATGTGGGCCTTGCCTATTGGATCCGGGAGAGGGGTGCTTAAACCCTTCCCTCTCCCATTCGAGTCTTATCCTGGTTAATTGGTGCACTGTCCTTTGGAGCCACTATTAAAGCAAAATGTTTTTGAAAATCATTTTCAGAGATTTCATCACTTCCCTTTCCTCAACTAATAGGTGCAGATTCCAAATCCAACCCAAGTGAGCTGTTTTCTGACGTTCATAATTTTAATCTTATGTTTTATTAATATTTGTTTGTTAATGTTTTTATTTCTTCTTTTAGTACAAAAATAAAAAAAAAAGCATTTAAAATGACTATAGTTTATTATGAGTTATGACTTATGATAAATCTTTTATGGGCATTAAATATTAGAAAGGAGATGAAGAATAAAATATTCAAAAAACATAAATATATTATTAAGGTTTTCATCTTTCCTTTGCGATTAAGTGAAGTGATTATTTTAAAAGAAAGGCATAATAGTATGTAATGAGGGCTATACAACTATCATACATCTAAACAAATTGATGTATGATATATCATATATAACATATATTTATATATGACATGTATATAGAGTTAGGTTTAAGTTATATTGGGTTATCCAAGGGTCAACCCTAACCCAACTCAAAATTAAGTCAAATTCATAAATTTGAACCCTAACCCTAACATGAATCAATGGACCCAACCAATGGGAATTTTTGGATTGGGTTGGGACCCAAGTTGCAGCATTTTTAGAATACTTGAATTCCATGCTCTCTTTTCCGTGACACTTGTCTAAGTCTAACCATTGCACAAGTGCACTCTACTTATCCCTTCTCTTTATTAGATGTGGGCCATCTATGCATGGTGAACTCTATACTTTGATTCAAGTCCACGTGAAGATCAAATGATTCCTAGGAATTATAGCTGATGAGGGCAACTTTTGAGCCTTAATATCAATAAAATTTAAAAAATAGATTAATTTTTTAAAAATAATATCAAATAAAGCAAAAATATATTAATTCATCGGCTCTTCCGCATCCGACAAGTCATTACCAGATAGATCATCTGACAAGGAAATTGTAAACGTCGTTAATTTTGATTCTCCCACAGATGTTGAGTGCTCTGACGAAGCTCCCTCTTATGGCCTGAAAGTACGACCCTTTTGGTGTGCCACCGCAAATCAGAGCTTCGGCTTTGATTGATGGTCGCTTCAACTTCTTCAGCGGGAGAAGAATAGAAGAGCCCGTGCTCGGGTAGCACCTTGCATGGTTGTCGGGCAATTTCGGGAACCTTTTTACGACAATGTTTCTCGTATAGTCGAGCAAAATTGTGCCGTTGTTGGCGAAAACGAAAAGGTTGCCGTTGACGTTGAGGTGAACACAAGGGTAGTGATTATTCTCCACATTGGGATCATTGGTTTACGACAGAAACGGAAGATCGAATAGAGTGTCGGTCGATCAGGATTTTGGGTAAAACTCATAATTGAATTGATTATGCCCACCAATGATGACAGAGTGGCCATCCGGTAGTAAATGGTTGGTCGCATACTATTGTGGAGCAAGGAGCCCGAAGCTATTCTCGTCCTAGTCATAGCCATTGAACGGAGCGAAAATTCTAACCGAATGTTCACCACCGTTGGATCCCCCAGTTTGGATGAGGCGCCCGTCAAGGGAGACAGAGCCCGACGAGCACCAAACGTCGGTTTGGACCATTAGAGGCCGTATTGAATTGGGCGAAACATCATACTCGGCTGAGTGAGCGGTACAGTTGACGTGCAGAACAATGTCCTTGGGGTCGTGATAGCACTTGCCATGTGGCAAAGCCAGCATCGACTTGTCGAAATCTGTTCGATCCAATATCACAACTCAGTCATTGTGAAGTAATTGCATGTGCATCACAAATATATCAATACTGTGCTTTAGGAGGTCTCACTTACCTCCTCCGCCGGTCGCATGTGCTAGTCTCGGCCAAGATATTGTTACTGTAAGGAAGAGCAGCAGCGAGACAAAGAAGCAGGACATAGGCGATGTTAAAGTCACCACGACTTAGTTTGAATGGTTTGGTTTGTGTGTGGCCGAAAGCTGCTCAGTCTGTGCCTTTAAATAAGTAAAAAGGATTATAGTTTGAATGATATGAAAGAAGAGGAAAAAGATGAATAATATTTTTGTCTTTATTTAATATTATTTAAAAAAAATAATATATTTTTTAAATTTTATTAAAATGTTATTTCTATTAGGGCCCAAAAGATGCTATTGATCCCATTCCAATATTCAATTCATAAACATATTCCCACGTGTCATCAATATAGCCGTAAATTTGACTGCAAAAAGTAACCACACTTTCAATCCATGATCACATGTGCGTATAGCAGGACTCTTTCGCTCTCTCCATAAACGAGCAAGCTGACCTCCTAAAGCGGTGGTGTCACTGGTGCTCCTCGTTGCCTGCGGCTCCCCAGTCCCAACTGGTGTGATATTGAGTATCGATTATCTGGTGCGCTCTTTTCCTCCTCTCCTTTCTTATCTTATCTGATGCATGTTTAGATATGATTATTTTAATTCAATCCAAAAATATGTTGCCACTGAGATAGAAATCGGGTGAAATTTATAACATTTCATGATTGGGGATGAGGAACTTTACGTCTTTTTTCTCGAATTCTTTTTCTAGGTTTTGGGGTGTTCTAGGAAAACGGGTGATTGGAGGAGAACAGACAAAGCCCACTTATTTTATTTGATATGTATCGAGTTTTAGTTTGTTTCTTTTCGCTTTTTGGTGGATTTGTTGGGTTAGTGGCGGACGATTCATTGGAGATTTTATTTGTATCTTTTCCGTGCTTTTCTTGGCGAACGGAGAGGGACTCTATCTCTCCGGCAAAAAGCCCTTCCTTGTCAAGACGTCTGAGCCGGGAATCCGACTCTACTCCTGGTTTTTGAAACCCCGCCACTTGAAGTATTTCTCTTAAACAGCTGGTTTTTGAAACTCCTCTTCGCCCACTGACACTAAGGGTGCACGTGCAACTTAGGTCGGGTTAACCGGAAGCCAATTCGGGTCCAATCCAAATTTGAAGTTTAAGGTTGTATGACTTGTATCTAACTTAACTTCGGGTTGGGTCATGGTTGTGACCTTGGCCAACATGACCCCACCTAAACCTCTCTAGGCTATGTTTGGCATCACTCCACAGAATCATTAAGTGATTCACTGGATTCTTAAGATGAGAAACATTTTTGGATACGAATATGAGGTGTTTCTCATTACCGGATGAGAAATCAGTTCCGGAGGCAAGATTCTATGATTCTCGCTTCTTACAAAATTAACGCACACACTCCCGTAATTTTGCGTGAAAATAGATAGGCTCAAGAAAAGCCTTTAGTTTTTTTTTCCATTCCATCTCTACACATTTCTATGGTGCTCATGTTTTGGACATGTTTTTAAATTATCCAACGCTTTGGCCTTATAACTATATATCTAAGTTTTATTTGCTTATATAAGATTTCGGATGTACTTCGATTTGCCCATCCATTTTTAATTCTGAGGGTTGCTTGAATGTTGAATCTACTACCTTACAGTTCAAGTGGAACGGTAGATAGTCAAGAGATTTACCAAACCTTTTAGCTGTAGGGATTTACCAAAACTTATAGTGAAAGAAGAATAGTAGATAAAAAAAGATGAAACAGTATCCCTTATATCTCTCTATTGAGGTTGGCTAGAGCACCGACAACAGTGAGGATGGTGAGAAACTGAGAAACAAGCGTTGGTAGGGTGTAAACAGATTGAATTCGAATATCGATCAATTAAATATTTTAGATATATAAATTATTTATATAATTTAATTATTATTTATAAATTATATAAAATATTTAAATATTTTATATAAGAATTAAATAATCAGTTGAATTCGGATATTTATTAAATTGAATAAGATCATATCCGAATTTGAATCCAATTAGTTAATTAATATGAATAAATATCTGAATTCGATCAATTATAACATTCAAATTATGTGAATTTGATTCGAATATGTTGAACCTCTCATTCAAAATCAGATTCAATTATGTTGAAACTCTCATTTAAAATCGGATATTCAAATACTGTTGACATCTGTAAGCATTGGTGTGGGGATGGGGTGAGAGGGAGAACATAGAAAGTGGGTGATAGAAAGGGAGGGNGGGGGGGAGAAGAGGAGGGTAGGGATTAGGGATGCAAATGATCGGATTGGATTCGAATTAGGGTACATTTGAAACGGATCTATGATCTAATTGGAGTCAATTTGAATTTGAATCGTACTGGATCTTTGGACCTAATTTGATCCAACTTGTTTTTTTTAATTAATAAATTATTAAAAGAAAAAAATAAACTATACCAATTTAAATAAAGAAAAAATAAAAAAATACAGATATTTTTTAATCATTTTCATCATATATACATGTTTTTTATAAAAAATAAATAATATAACAAATTTATAAAAATACAATATAAATAAATAAATAATATATATATATATATATGTATTATATATATTTATATTTATAAATATATAACACATTGGATTGGATAGGGGTGATCCAAATCCGATGCAATTTTGATCGGATCACAGGATCCGATTTGACTAAATAAGATCAGATCTCAAATCGGATCATGACCCTATCCATTTGCACCTCTAATAGGGATTTATGAATGAAAATTAGCATCGCATCAATTCGATACATGTCCGTATTGGCCCAATGCTAACAAAAAAAAAAAAAAATAGAACATATAAATTCTATATGTTCCTTATATCGGATCCTTAATAAAACATAATGTGTCAGCCGATAGGAATTGATATATTGCAAAATTTCAAATCTTGGAATTTGATCATATTGCAAAATATTATCTACACTTAAATATTATAGACTGAACTGGTCCACGATGGATACAATCAATTTTCTATGATTTTGCAAAAAAAATATTAAAATATTTTAAGTCTTGTAAATTGAACTGATTCACGATGGATACAATCAATTTTCTATAATTCTACAATAACTTATTAAAATATTTTATTCAAAATTTTATAAGATAAAATATACATACTATCATACCACAATATAGAATGGGGCCCAATGAATTGAATCATCCTTGCGCGTATTTTATTGAACCACTGAACATAGCCTAAACCCCCAGAAAGGCTTTGCCGTTTTGCTGCATCATGAATCACGCGACACCGACTATTATAAAGAAAGTCAAAACAATTATAGTTTTATTTTTTATGTTTAACGGTTTTCTGTCTTAATTAATTATTAAATTTGTATAATATAAAAACTATATTTCAATTTAATTTCGAGATATGTTTATTGCCTAATTACCTGGAGGAGACACCAGTTGACCACTGTTGATGGTGCCGATAATATTTTGATTTGAGATTCGAGACTTGTAAGCCGAGAACCAACCGATGCCAATAAAACCCCTTCCAATACCAAGTTTATTATAGCGAGTCGGGAAACGTTTCAACCTGATTTATTTGTATTGGGAGGAAATTCGGACTCGGTTACAAACTTACAACCTCTCAGAAGCCTGACAAGTGACAAGTGATAAGAACACGATGTAACAACTAACAAGCCAAATCGAAATATTTCCTCATGAATAAAATACGAAGATATTAACTGTGAGGACGGTTTTGTGAGGATCAAATCCAATTACGTATCGAAATCGAATCTGCTCCTCACACAGGGTGTCTCGTACGGACATCGCTGGCGACAAAACACAGCCACAAATGGGAAACATCTGCTGCGTGGATGTGGCCAGCAGATTTGGACTCACAGTGAGTTTGTAGGACTTAACAGTCCAACTCGAAAACCATATGCCAATAAGAACATGTATGTGTTTTATTTCATGGGCAGATATTCCCAATGCAAGGCTATCATTGTTGTTTGAATGGATTCACAGTGAATTTGTAGGACTGAGAAACTTTGAATAATGTTAAGCGTGTTATAAGGCCAGGTTTGGCGAGTACGACAAGAAAGCCAACTGCAGGTGCTTTCCCAGTCAAAATTGCTAAACTCTCATCGGTCATTGTTCATTTTCTGTCTCTGCTAACCTCTTCTATTGCATTTTGATCTTTTTGGTCGTACGATTTTCTTGAAATTATTGGAAATCCAAGGTACTTCAGTTCTTCTCGGACTACAGACTTGCTTCATATTAGCCGACACAGAGAATTTGAGAAGTTTCCCCTTTCCTTAGGTTGAAGTTTGAAACAAAGAGAATTTTTAATTTCTGGCTGTTCCGCCTATTCGCAAGTCTAACGGACTTTATGTTTATCATTTTTTTAGTTTTTTGTTCAGAAAACCGAAAATGTCTGTCCATTTCTCTGTCTAGGGAATACTGATGTTTAAATTGATAGGTTTTTTATTATTATTTTAATCGTGATATGTTGTTTTTAGGTGAGGCCCACGTCGAAATAATTGATGCATTAATTGTTTTTTTCCGTCTGGTTTAATCTTGCTGTGCCCATTGTCATGTATTATTATTTTGTCTTGACTAGTTGAATATTGGTTACACCTTTGAATTCCGAGAAAATTACATGTGAGTTGGTTTAGAATTGACATGGTTTGGTTCTATCTTTCCTATTTGTTTTTGAATAAACCAGCTCATCAGACAGTCATTACTGAATGCACATTCATTATCAATTTATCATCATCGTCATCATTTTATCATTTTATGATCTGGGTGCTTGAATTAAACAATCGGTTCATTCTTCTTCTTGCAGCTTTTCTTTTTCGGAATTCATTCAGGAACAATGAAGCGTAGTGATTCCCATAATGAAAATGTATGTCAGAGAAATATGTTCGATCGGAAATCTTTTAGAAGTCTCAGTCTGGATAGAAGGGACTACAATGGGATGAATGGAAATGGACCGAGACAAGGAGGTGGGTCGTGCGGTCAGATAAGTGGTATTGGTTCTTTGCAGAGAAGGCACTCCCTCAGTCTTTCACGTGGGTTTGTACAAGTATCTGATGACCTTGAAAGCGAAACCATGTCACAGGCTGGAGATATTGGGGACCGAGCACTTCACAGCAATAGATATAGTGAGAATAGTAGCTTCCGGTTCTCATTGGATGATAATTCATTACGTCTGGAGAATGGAGTTGGATCAATTCCTGAAGATGATGTTATGTTACAGTCTTATGGCTTTTGCGTTCGTGATGGTATTTCGCCAGATGCCAAATCCCCTGTTTCTCCACTTCCATCTGAGATTATATCTCCCCTCTCAACAGATGCAATTATCCACTCTGGAGACAAAAATCAAAGTCAGGCATCGGGCTACAAGGTCACTTCCTAGTAGATTCAATCTCTTATGTATTTTTTTTTTTTTTTAATTTTACATGAGACGTGAATTTTTAAGGTGCACTGACATGTTTTCGAGAATTCAGATAGTAATGAATTAGACTAAAAGCGGTAAATAGTCTGGCCATGGTTGAAACTATTTGAGCATTATCAACAATTTAATTTCCAATTGCTTGAACTTATATAAATCCTAATACAGAAATTTATCCTTAACTTTCTCCTAGTCTACTACATCTAATCCTAAATGGATGAGTTCCATAGTTTCTTGCTTGAGTTTATAGTTCTCTGAAGAAAGACCAAAACAGTTATTCATTATGTGCTAAAGGTTTTAGTATTGTAAATGCTTCATGTTTTCTTGATACAAGACATGCAGTTTATTGATTTGGAATTTGTAATTGCAGAATGACCAGAAACAGCTGCCCCTGTTATTGGAGTATATTTCATGCCTTGCTCATTTAGCCTTCTTCGGAATACTTGGGGTAATATGCCAAATTTGGTGGAAATTTGTTTGGTTTCCTAGTATATATGCGAGAAAGAGTATCCTAATGTTCAGACATAGACACTTACAATTTTGAAATTTGGATTACTGTGTGTTGTATGGATCCAATTTTTGACATGGCATATTTGGTTCTTTGTTAGTTTGAATTCTGAAGTTAGGCAGGAAAACAAGCGTCGGCTTTAGACATGGATATGAATTCTCACACACACTAACCCTGAGTAAACTGACATGATTTGTATGTAATGAGAAGAGTTTATTTGGTTATGCACTTTATAAAAATTAAACTTCTAGATATGGACAAGATGGACATCCGAGTTCTTTTGTTGAGATTACAAAATAGAGCCATTGTAATTGAAAAGGAATTTATTTGATGTGACAAAGTTGGTTTGGTTAATTCTGGTTGTTGCCAGGAATTTTCTCTTTCACCCATCTCATATTTCTTCTTCTAAGTGATTTGTCTCTCTGTTGTTTACTTTAAAAGCAAGGGTTTTTCTCTTTCTGATTTCTTGCTTATTCTTTTCTGGGTAGACAACAAGATGTCTAGAGGAGTTTGTTTTGTCCTTCTGAGGAGGTTAGCTGAGGCTAACTGTCCTATTGGGGTTTCCTGATCATGATGTAATTTGTTGATTTATTTATCAATAAATAAATTTGTAGGACCTCCTACCCTGTTATTTGAGGCTGAGAACCCAAAACATTTCTGGTTGAAACAACAATGGTACCAAAAACAACCTAACTTGTATTCTTTTTTGGGTATCTTAATAGTCAGTCAGGTAAGTCCATCACTAGAGGTTAGTAGGGACTCCGAGATGGGGCAGTGTAGGATGCATGTGAAGCCCATTAGCTATACTGTGGAGAGCTGGCAATTCTGTGGGGTTGATCCCACGTCTCTGTTTTGAGAGTGATGCAAAGTGACCATTTGAGCTTGCTATGAGAGAGGTGAGACACCTAGCAAATGAATTGGGGAGTCAGCTTCAAATTGGTTTAGATGCAGCATATGGTTTGGCAGATATTCTTGCTAAACAGGGAGTAAATAGGGCAGGGATGTTCTGGGCTTCTTTATAATGAACATAGTGTCTCTAAAGTGTTGTTTGCACTTTATGAGTGTAAAGGCTTTCCTTGTTGATTGAATTAATAACTTATTAGTTACCTATTGATAAAAAAGTAACCATCTCAACAAGGTTCCACCTAAGTTGTACTTGATACAGTTCATGCTGATCCAATGCCCTGTTAATTTGTAACAGCTATAGTAGTACATATAATTTATCTTCCAACTTGGCATAATAAAGGCTCTTAACCACCATATTAATACATTCCATTTGTCACTGGTTGACATCCTTAGATAGAGCATGTAGTTGATTACTTGGTGCTAACTTGCTTTTTGTTAAGCTCAAGTTATTTTATCCAATTTAGTGTTAGCCACTAATATATAGAATTTCTTTTCTTGTACTATATTTTCATTTCTATTGATCATATCATCAATATATAAGGAAAAGTAAGTGCCTATTCCGATAAAAAAGAAGTTCCTTATCTTTTCCTAGTGAACAATTGATGTTGTGTTAAATCTATGTAGTACTATCAGGTTAGAAAACTGGACATGACATTCTAAGGCATATATTTGCTTTGCATTGCTAATAACTACTTATTTTCTTCTTAATGAACAATTGATGCATTGATGGTTGAATTAATTCAACATTACCTGCTTCAGTATTTTAGAAGGCTGAATGCATCATAGTAAGGCATAGATTTATTTTCACAAGAAAGAGGAATGCATGTTAGTCATCCTTGCCAAATTTCCCTTTCCCTGCCTTGTTCATGCTGAGACATTTTCTTTATAGAAAAGACTCTAGATAGTTTTGATTACAGCTCAAGAAGGTTCATTTAGGCATTTTCTTTATGGAATAGACTCTCTATATGGTTTTGATGACAGCCCAAGAAGGTGCATTTAGGTGTTCTTGGGACACCTGTAGCCATTAGCTAGTTCCATGTTTTAGTTCTTTTAACTTTACAGTTCTCTAGTTCTTCCACTTATCTGTTACTTAAGTTTTCAATTCAGTATAGAAGCTTCTATATTTACTCATCTTGCATTTGCAAAACATATGGCAGGTGCTGACAAGGTATTTACTGCAAAAGCTCTTTGGTCCCAGTGTTGCAGGTGTCACAAGTGATCAAAGTTTTATCTACCTTGATCTTCCTTCTAATATGGTCTCTCTCTCTCTCTCTCTTTCTCTCTCTCTCTCTCTCAAACACACACACATAAAGACCTGAAAACATAATTGTTTCTACTGTTGCTACAGTAGTCCGAACCAGTAAGGAGAAGAAGAAAGAGAAGGAGAAGAAGAAGAAGAAGAAGAGGAGAAGAAGAAGAAGATGAAAGAACTGTCGAACCTGATAGCTAAACCCTATCAGTCGACCTCTTAATAGTGATTAGGCTCTAATTAAATGTACAAGGACTAAACTACCCCTACTTAAGTACGGGACAGAGAACCTCT